TTCCATAAATATATTTTTACTATTTTAAATTATTTGTTGGCATAGAGTTTGAAAAATTGTTGTTTGAATTAAATCAAATTTACTTGTATATATACACACAATTGTTATATTCACCATACATGCAATTTTACATTTCTTAAAAAAAAAAACAGGTACTTCCTACTCTTGTAAGATGAATATTTTTAACAAGCAACCATGGAGAGATGTGCCTACGACTCCCATGGGTGGGCATAATGTCGACTGAACTTTATCCCTTCTACTTCAGATTCTTGTTATAGATCACATACAATGTTGTGAGTTTATTTACTTTATCCCCTTCCTGTACCTAGATAACTATGACTTCCAAGTGTGAATGTATGCTTTTTCTGGAAGTTTCTAAGCATAATTAATTATATCAGGTAGCCAAGAAAACACACCATTAGCATCACTCTAGTTTCAGTGACAATGTCTTGAGACAGGAATCACATTCTGCTTGATGTTACAATTATTTTGCTTAAACACAGATGGATACCTTGTTCAACTATCTTTTACAGTGCCTGCTGTTCACATCATAGGTGCTCACAAAATATTTGTGAAGTGACTGATCAAATAAATGAATTGCCAATGGCTGCAGCCATACAGTGTGTTTGAGAAGAGTGGGACAAATGCAGCTGTGTGCCTTTCATTGATGAAATGAAAACCCTAGATTCTAATGGAGACAGATTTAAGGATGAATAATCAAAATCTTTTTCAATCAAATTTACTGTTACAGATCATTAATTGAAAAGAGAAGAAAATGTAAGTCTTTTATTATTTTGATGAAGAATGATTTATAGATTTTCAGAGTTGAAGGTGTTAGAGAGGGTTGCTTCAACATTAAAGTGCATGCTCTAATCCCTTTTTATGTACACACACACATCAGATGTTTGTGGGGTTCCTCCAGAGTTAAGCCTCAGCCTTAAAGTGTGACATTTCCTTAGGGTTTTGTCCTTGGTCCACCTCTCTCCTCTTTCTTCATGTTCTGAGTGATACTCATTCCCATGGTTTTGGCTTCCATCTATATGCTCAGAACTTCTAAACTATTATCTCTTAACACCAATCTTGTTTTGAGTTCCAATCTATGTATCAAGCTACATAGTGAGTATCTATATGAACTTAGATATACCTTACTTTTCTAAATTCAGAACTTTCAAAAACTGACCTCTGCATTCTCTCATAACAAAATGAAAAACTAAAACAACAAAAATAGTTCGCTCTCTCTTCTTTCAAATATTAGCATTTCCATCTATTTAATCATATATATATAAACTGAGATGTGCTCTATGGTCAGAAAACTACAGCCCATATATCTGTTTTCATAAATGACATTTTATTGGAACACAACAACCACCATTCATTTTGTTTATGGCTGCTTTCACACTTCAATGTCAGAGTTTAGCACAACAGAGGCCATATGACCCACAAAGTCTAAAGCATTTCCTATTTGCCCTTAGCCAAAAAACAGGCTTGTTGACCTCTGTTTTGGAGAATCAGTCAATCTCTCTCTTTCTTTCTCTCCCTCCCTTGGAAAAAGCTGTCTATTTTTCTCTCTTGGATATTTTTCAAGTTTATCCCTACACCTCTTAAATCTGGGCTTTCATCATCTCTCACCTGCACTAGCAACTAACTCTTAACAGCATTCCTCACCTGTCACCAGAGCAATATATCTAAAACATACCTTTGACTGTTAAACTAGTGAGACAATTCTTCATGTGTGTCTAACATTCATGCACATTTTGTGAACAGAGGTACTAACAGCTTTTGTTCTGGATTATCCTTTCCAGTATATTTGTATATCTTCCTTGGAAGATATAGTATCTCCCTGCAGGAGAAAGAGCAGATTTAGTATCAGTATAATAAAGATAATCCCTCCCTCCAGGGCAAAATTGGGCAGGCTTGCATGCTTCTCTCTTACAAAATACTGGCTAACCTTAAGCTCTAAGATCGGGGTTTATAAACGCTTTGTGCACAAAGCATCCACCTGGCCCTACTTTCCTATTATTCCCATGGACTTCAAAAAGCAAGGTAAACAAATAGGAACTTGAAGTTCATGCTGACTTCTGTGATCCTGGAGTCTTGTGTCTTCTATAGCATCAATGAAACTGTAGCAGCCTACCATGCAAACAAACTAAAATCTCAGACCCTTCATAATTCTTGACATTTGCCCCTCTATTTCTTTCCATCAACTACAGACTGAAGTCCATGTTCTTTAGCCTGTGATAAATGGCCCTCAGTGACCTAGATGTACCTGCTCCTCTAGCTACATCTTCTGTTGTTCCCTACTAGCATTGGCAACGCATGTTTCCTACCTGTTCATAGCTCTTTGATTAGCACATCCTATTCTGTGTCTCCCTACCTTTGCTCATGCCTGAATTGCCTTCTAACCTCCCCAACTACCGTCCATTTTCCTCTTCCCTACCTTGTTCTTCCTTGGCCTGCAGCCTCTTTTTCATACTTAAAGCACAGTTCAGGCTTTATCTCCTTGTAAGACAATCCATGCATGACTCATCTCAGTGCCCTTCCTCCAGGTCTGCAGAAACCTCTGAGAACAACTCAATGATATCCTTGCCATTCTTTTTTAAATGTCCCCGTGTGATTGTCTTGCTCACAAGCATTTAAATTCCTCACGTGAAGAGGCAGTATCTTAGTGCTCCCAGAAGTTCATTTCATACCAGTACCTGCCGATGCTCTAGAAACATTTGTTTAATGATTCTGAACTGAAATAAGTTAAATCGATGCCTTAACCCTAATATCTTCAAATCTCACTGTAGGGATATGAAAAAGTATATATTCACATATATTCTTTAACTGGGAAAGTTGCTTTCCTGCTTCTTTTTTAAACACTGTTTTTCCTTTTACTATATGATTCATTAACACTCAAGACTTCCCAGAGGAAGTAAGAATTTAATGAAATATTCTAGAGAAGTTTGTTATTTTTCTAAATCCGGTTATATTCTCTAAACCATATTGCATTTGCCAAATGGTTCCTGTTATCTGTAATTGAAGACAGTCCAATTCTTTAACACTAAGCCCTTGAGAAAGCTGAATAATGCCAGAGAACATGTGCCATGTGGGCAGACACAGCCTGGCCTGAGGACTCTGACTTCTGGGGACACCCCCAGTATGGCAATATTCTACCAGCTCTAGAGAGAATATTTTCTAGTCATTTGCTTAATTGGGTGGGACAGAGTGTCACATTAGTTGCATGGTGGGAAAGATGCCATCATCAGATTTTTTCAGGTCAACTTGCATGAGGTGAAATTCATCTTTGGAAAGCACAGAGAAAGCTCTGCCTCTAGGCTGTGAGAACATCTCCAACTCCATTGTTGGTAGCAGCCAGTGAATTAATAAATAGTGGACTGCTCACGCTGTCCTGGTTGCTCCAGGAGAGAATTTATCTCTTTCTTAAAAAATTAAAGGGAAAGTACAAAAAAGGATGGGAAGAGAAAACACAATTGTTTGTCATTCTAGGTTCTTAAAAGTTCATATATTAATTTCACTCATACAAATAAAATACTTCCAGCCAACACAGTCTCCTATCCAGAAGTTAGCATTGGTGTACTGAAGCTCTTGTATGATCCCTTAAAGCTCAAATGAATCCACAGAAGATGCAGTAGGTAGAATGAGCAATGTAATGTAAGCAATGTAATGTCTAAGGAAACTTGGCTAAAATATTCCCACACTGAATATTTCATTGGATATAGTATTTATACACATCCTGATTGGAAAAAAAAAATGTGTCTTGTAGTTTTCCACTGACTTTTCCAGATAACAATCTCTGGTTTCTATGAACTTGGATTAAGAAATTTAATTTGACAATTTGTCAAATCCTACAACAGCTGTAATCAAATATATTAATGTTTTCTGTTTTAAAAGCACAGTGACAGAAAAGGGGCACATTTTGCCTTTATTTCAAATTATGATACAAAACCAAAAGATTCTTCCTCCCTTGTTCAGACTCAGAGCCTTAGACCAAATATAAATGAACCAGGGCAGCCAGTTCATGAAACTAGTCCATCCTTTTCTTAATTGTTTGCTTATTACCAGTAAAAAGCTTAATGCATCAAACTATATAAATATAATCCATCAATGTATTAATAAATTAATGACTCTATGAACAATATATTGGTACTTCATATAAATGAGAGAAGTTCTAGAATTTTAATTACTTTTTGAAAACACTTGGCTATTAAATCATAATAGAACCAGGTGTGGTAGCTCATGCTTGTAATCCCAGCAGCTCAGGAGGCTGAGGCAGGAGGATTGCAAGTTCAAGGCCAGCCTCAGCAAATTGGTGAGGCCTGAAGCAACTTACTAAGACCCTGTCTCAAAATAAAAATTTAAAAAGCACCGGGGATATGGCTTAGTGATTAATCACCTCTGGTTCAATTCCTAGTAGTCCCCTCAATACACACACACACACACAAAAAAAAAAATTAGAAAATGTTTATTTTGAGAACATATTTCTCATCATTTTGTGAATACTTCAGTATTTGATAGAAAACAAAGATTTTAATCTTTTGCTTTCTTATAAAAAATCATATTGTTTAAAGATGGTAGGAAAAACTTTCAGTAAGTGTATGGCAAATATAAAAAGTCTATTACAAAAGATATTATTAGTGACACTCAAAATATAAATATCTATGTGTATTTTCTAAGGTTAACATTTTATGAAAGAAAAAGTTCAGGATTTCAAAACTAATCAATGCATTCATTATCCAAATTCTAAGCACATGATGCTCACTAGGGGACTATGATCAAGACAGCTAGTAAGTATCTTTCCAATAATGTTGACAATGCAAGATTATTGCAATATTTGCAAAAGAGAATTGCAATAACAACAAAGACCTGCATATTTACTTCATTAGCTTTAATCTTTTCCCCCTGAATATCAAAGAGATTAAATCCATTTGCATCAAACTTGGGTGGTAATCTTGAAGAATTTATTATCCCCTTTCCAGCATTGTTTTAGAAGTACTTACTTTCTGAGATTTTTAACCTTTCAGGTGCCAGAAAATTTCAGAAGATTCGTGTACAATCACTAATCTTTCATGATTGGGACCCTGGGACAGCTGCAGCCAGATTTGTTGTGGGTTGTCCCAGGAAACCACTGTGCTGATAGTTACAGGGAATGTTCTCCAGCAAGGCAAGGTTTCCTTGTATGCTGGTACTTAACTGGGCATGGTCAACTGTGTTAAGTATGAGTAAACAATAAGTGAGGTATAATAGCTACTGTGTCCAAATATTTATTGTATGAAAGTTAGTGCCTTGCTAGCTCAAGTATGTTTATTATTTTAGACTATGGGGGGGGGGGAATGCAGGTGGTTATCTGGTGACAAAAGTTTGGTGGCAATTAAAAATTCTGTAGCCTACCTTTATTTTGCAGATTACCTCCCAGATCCCCAACTACTATATTCCTTGCTCTAAGAAGGATGACCATTTTAAAATAAAAGTTGTGGGCTTACAGGTTGCCTAATGTAAAAGGATGTTTTCCTGGTTGTTTATCAGTTCTACTGTCTCAGAAACACGATTTCATCTCTAATTTTCTGGCTCATCATAGTTTTTGTTTTTCTCTCTGGAAGACTTACTTCTACCATATTGCACATTCCATTTTCAGTATGTTGATGTTTTTCACAGTTTTATTTTACAGACTCATTTTACTTTTAAATTCATACTGCAGTTGCATCCTTCAGTTGTGGTTGACATTACAGTATTTTCTTCATGCAGATAAAACACACATGCTTTCCCCACTCCCTCCAATGCTCTTCTTTGAAGTGGATCCCACTCATTTTAAAGGAGAGGTCTGGATGACAAGACTAATTCCAAAGCAAGGATTTAAAGACCCACAAAAGACTCATAAGAAAATAGAAAATCCTAATTTTAATTTGTGCTGTAGATAAAACAATTTGGTGTTTACTCTATCTCAATTTTATGACAAAGGAACACACGTATAAAATAGCCCTTTGTTTATTATAAGAAAAATAAATGCTGTCCATAATTAAAGACCATATGTTTTGATGTAAATCTGAAAAAGAAAATTTAAATTTATAACTGCTAAATTTAAAAAAATTACAGCTATAGTTAACCCTCTTTTACAAACTTTTTTCATATAACTGGCATAACTTTTATGGGCTAGTTTTGTCCAATTTGTTGGAAATGTCCAAAAGCAGCACTAATGTTTGATTTCTTAATTCAATGAATTCAGTCCAGGTCTTGTCATCAGATCTTCGGATCTATTTATCTAAATTTATCTGTACAAATTCTACATGTATTTGAATCTAAGCCACTAATAGTTCTGACATGTTTTATGTCTGCATATTAGATGATTCTTCTGACTGTTAAAAACAAGGGAGAGAAATGAATTATAGTAGATTGGGTGGGGTGGGGAGATGGGATGGGAGGGGAGGGGAGGGGGGATAGTAGAGGATAGGAAAGGCAACAGAATACAACAGTCACTAGTATGGCACTATGTAAAAACATGGATGTATAACCGATGTGATTCTGTAATCTGTATACTGGGTAAAAATGGGAGTTCATAATCCACTTGAATCAAATGTATGAAATATGATATGTCAAGAGCTTTGTAATGTTTTGAACAACCAATAATAAAAAAATTGGTTTCAGTAAGACAGGATGGGATGATTTCAAATCATTTGTTCTCAAAAGTTCAACGTTCTAGAATCCTCCAAGGAAACATTGTTTTCAATGTAGTTTATTCCAGTCTTATGAGCCTCAAAATCTGGAGCTATTTCTTAAATCTATTCTTGATCATTTCTGCAGTAATAATGGAGGCCTTTTACTGTCATATACACAGAAAACAGTGTTCCGTATCACAATAGGATAGAAAACAGTTTTGACAGGTACAAATGAACTGTAAGAGTAATTCTAGCCGTGTTCTAAGAAGTGGAAATGTTCTAATTCTCTGTTGCTATTAAATTGAAAATGATATGCATTAATGAAAGCTACATATCTAGATATGACATGACTATGGGGACTGAAGAATATGAAACATGGGAAAGAAGTCCTTCCAACTCTGTTACAACATGATGAGGTATCACCACTTTCTAAAGAAGGTGGACTTCTAAAGAAACACAGCATCCCACTTCTGTTCCCACAGGAAGTTGTTTTGGGAAAAAAGAAAGAGAAAGCTGCCAATGTTGTAGCAAAGACTTAGGGCCATTACTGTTATGCACACAGGAGATTCACCCTATGAGAGGATGGGCAAAAGGGTAGAGGTTTTTACCACTATCTATATTAGCTTAAGAAATTTCACAGAGAGATTCACCATCCATAATTATGTATTTATATTCACAGTTCTATTATAAATATAAATACATCTGATATACAAGGTTGGTGACTATTTCTAAGGAGTAGCATTGTAGGTAGTAGGATGACAGGATTTCCATTTTGTAATTTGTACCATTTTGCATGGCTCATTTTTTTATTTGTATGTATTACTTTTAAATACAGCTGTTTCCTTTGTGATTTGCAAATAGAAACTATATCATATAGTTTGAAAAAAACTTAAATTTGTCCTGGCCATCCATGCCAAGAATTAATTTATGATGAACTATAATCTTGGAACAAGTTTAATAACTAAAACTTTACTTTTAGCTATTTAGTGGGTCTTTCTCTAGAATAAATCATTTAAAATGAAACTCCAATGTAATATGGATATTAATAAAAATGTAGTTCAGTACTTGGCTTAATCCCTACCTACCAGGGGATATACAATCACAGTACAGGATTTGACAATTTCCCAAAGAGTGTGACACATGCTGGAGCCTGAGGGACTTCTTTCAATTTCCATGTTTGCATTTCTCAGTGGGACACAAGTGATGGAAAATACATGTAAGTGAGCACAGAGCCTAGAAGACTCACAATTTATAATACTTGAGGTTCAGGTTGGCCAGGAATTAAAGTTGCTGCGAATAACCACTTAACTCTGCCATAGCAACCTTTCCAAATCTTCTTACCTATCAAAAGCATAATCATCATCCTATCTTCAGTTTTGGTGTCAGCCTGGCTGCTGTTCATTTTACACACATCTTATCTACATTGTGTCTAAAATCTAATCCACTAGGCTTTCATTCTTCACTAAATGTTGCTGGTTGACTTCTCCAGGAAGCTGATCCTAATCTAAGACAGGCATTCCTACATAGGGTGTTCCAGGGAATGCTCTCCAGATCAATATTGGTAGAGCTCTAGAGGAAGTAAGTTTGGGCAGAGGGAGAAATTGAGTGGCAATGGAGACTCAACAGAGCTCCATTTAGCTCTACAAGTAAACTGGAGCCTATGAAGTGGTCCCCAGATGAGCTGGGAGATCAGACATTAGTAATTCTCAAAAGTCTGGAGTTGCAGGTAGGGACACACCTTGACCAAACGGCTCTCTGCAGCCCAGCACAGCCACCAGGATCTATATACAGCTTCACAAAGGCAGCCATCCTACCTAGTACCTGGGTAAGTCAGTGCTTCCTTCCTGAGAACTAGATCTAAGCAGTGCTCCACCCAGTACTCTAAATACACCAATCTACATCTACATTACAGATATTGGCGCCTATTGGAGTGAATTTTCAAACTGAGTCCCTTGTTCTGGTTGACTCATTTGTATCCTCTTAATATGCCATCATGCAGAAATGTTCTCTAGCTCATAAATTTGTCCAATTTGATCCAATTCAACAGCTATGTATTGAGAACCCACAATTTGCAAAGCACTACCTACCTCTGAGGATCCAAGAATGGTTAGGGCATAGTGCAGAAGAATGATAATCATGTTATAAAGTATTTCTGAGGTTTTTCCATGTCATGTTCTATGCATCTCATCTAATCCTCTAACAACATCATCAGTTAAGTTCCACTTTGACCTCCATTTTGCAATTTAGGGACCTCAAGACAGTATGGATTTATTACATAAGAAACTCAGAAGGAGCCTTCAATGACAGGAGGGTAGACAGAACACAGTGAACAAAGGTCAATGGGTAGATGTTTGATTCAGTTTGTTATGTTTAAGGAAAGTATGGATCATCTAAATACATGTGTCCAGTGGGAAATTGTATGTTCAACTCTGAAGTTCAGAAAAGGGATGAGGGCAAGATATGGTTGGGAGACTTATGAGATTGTAAGTGGTAATAAGGACTTTGGAATAAATCACATGTGACACTGTAGTAAATGACACCATTCTGCACTGAGTGTGGAAAATAAGAAGAGCAGTGGACTGAGGTCCAAGCTTCAGGGAAGGGTAGTAAGAGAAGTTTATAATGGCAGACAAAAGGTCAGAGATGGAAGAGGAATGAGCACTGCCATAGAGAGAGAGAGAGAGAGAGAGTGTGCGTGCTTTTAAACAAAGAGAGGAGTTTCCAGGGTCAAAGACACAAGAAATCCCAGATAACTCAAGTGCCAGAAAGAGTCTGTGGAGTCTGGAGTATGGGAGTCCTTGCTGCCCTTTCCCAGAGCTGCCTCTTGGCAGTTCAGACAGTGGGAATCTGACTACTCTGAGTGGAAAGACGAATGGGAAGTAGAACAGGTGCTCAGAATTCATTCTAAAAAGCTGAAGAAAAATGAATGCAAATGAGAACTCTAGGGAGGACTGGTGTCAAAGGGATGTTGCCTTTTTTTAAAACATTTTCTATATGATTGACGTGTCAGACATTAGGGACACAAAAATGATTGAAATATAGTCCCTGCCTTTAAGGAACTCATACTCTAGTGCAGGACACAGAAATAAGAATAGTGACACTACATGTGATGAAAGCAGAAATAGCTATGTCATTAGAGAACTATGAGAAAAAGAGGGAGAAGTCTCTGACTTTCTTAGAGGTTAAGGAAGTAGGTGAAGTAGCAGATCAAGAGATGATTGGCAGAGAACGGAACATCTGTGGGACAGCATGGAAATATGCAAAAGACAGGCATATTCGTGAAAATGAATGATCACTGTGGCTGAGCGCAAGAAACTGGTGGAGACAAGGAATGGCACTGGAAAGATAAAACAGTTCAAATCACAAAGGGCTTTGTGTGCCACGTTAAGGAATTTAAACTTTTTCCACTAAATAATGAGGAAACTTACAGCAGAGCTTTAAGCAAACCCAGTAATCTGAATTATTGTGTTTCATAAACTGGTAAGAAAGGAGAGTGACTTGGAGAAAGCAACTCAGGAGACAAGAAGATTGCTTATGGGTCTACTGTACTAACTCGGATCATTTACGGTATCATGGGAAAATAACTAAAACAGCAAGAATGGGCATGAGGAGGAGGGGTAGATTAAAGAAAGCTAAAAGATAGAATTCCCAGAATATAATTATACTAGTGGAGAGATGGCAATAGGGAGAGAGCAGTAAAATATCATTTTAGATTTCTGAATTGGTGGCTGAATAGAATTAATTGGAATGTAGAAAGTTTGGGGGCTGAAATACAATGAGTTTGGTTTTGAGA